TGTAAGCCATATTGCAAACCTTACACACTCAAAACGTCAATGTTTTGCTTTCAGGAAATGCAAGAGGAAAATTACAGCATGTTTCTTAGAAAAATCCCTAATTGTTACACCAGAGTGTCATATAAGACACAATGGAATAACAACAGCCAGTTCTCTGTATCCTCACGTAATTAACATTTAATGACCAAAACATCGTAAAATGCTGGACTTGTATTGTTGATATGTTAAATCCAGTAAGTTCTGAGCATGTCTGAGCAGTCAACCCTTTCCTTTCATCCAGAAATCAATCTATTGAACCAATATGCCTTCAAACTGCTGTTTTTCCTCGTGACTTTGACCACGCGCTGCCATCTTTCGACCTCCATGTCTGACTCTGTTCTCCTCCTCTCTCACACGCTCTCTGCCTTCGTCAACAAGGACAAAACCCGGCCTTGGAGGGAATATCGAACCTTTGACATACACTTGAGTTTTCTTTACTAGAGCCCCTTCAATGTAAAGCTCAACCCAGCACTGTAAAAGCCAAAACATAAATAAATTACATTTTCACAGCCTGCTGACTGCTGAGAGCCGCCTGTCCTCCAAACGGCAGAAACAAGAGATACCGACATGATCGAAATGTTTCCACTGGCTAGAAAGCTTCTACGTTTCTGAAACAAAGACTAACTTTGAGTATTTGTGGAAAAGACGGACCAATTTTTGTGAAGGTGATGATTATCTTTAAATGTGGCCAATATCTGTAATATAATAAATGCATTTAACCTCTATATTCTGACTTTATTCTCATAATGTTATGACTTTTCTGGTGATATCACAGCTTTAATCTCCATTTTTATGACTTTTCCCCTCCAATTTATAACTTAAATACATTAAATCACATTATGTTTGATTATTTCTCTAAATTTTGCTTTGATTCTTTTAATATTGTTGCTTTTTATTATGAAATCCCAGCTGTCTTCTTATAATAATACACGTTTTTCTATAAATATTACAACAGACTGAAGTGAACTAACGTTTTTCATTTTCAACAAGTGGCTGTAATAGTTTTGTTGTAATTTTCTGCCCTCCAACCCCACGTGTTTGACAACCAGGTGTGCAGCTCCACGCTCAGAAACCAGGCAGGGCGCTCCCAGCATACTGAGCAATTTTCCACTTTGCCCTGCATCGATTCCCCATTATGGCGATATCGCTCTTTTCACAGAGGCTTAACAAAGTACAGACACACACGCACACACGGATATACACACACCTGACATAGCTGTCTGTGGTGATGGATGGAGGAGTTTGATAGAAAAGCCGACCACTGTGCCCTGCTGGTGGTGCCAGGTGCTGTGTTAGTGGTGACACAGCAGAAAAACGGCGGTGTGTGTTCGTGTGTGTTCACCCTTTGTATACGTGTGTGTGCGCGTCTGTTTCAGGGGAATTAGGGCACTGCACCTGGCAGTAAGAGTCAGCCTGGTAAAGTGGGTGCACTGCAGTGGCACATTCACATTTATACAAATAAAAATTAAGATTTTAAAAGTTGAAAGTATGTTTCAAACGACGTAAAAATGGATTTTGAGTTTGATGATTTAACAAAAATGGTAACATTGCAAATCACTGTAAACCTTAACAGCATGCAGCCGTTCAACGACATTCAAAAGCCTCTGAATTTTAGCTTTAATATTGAGAGTTGTGAGTGTGACTGTACCTCGCAGGGCTGTAACAGTCTGTGTATTCCTACAGAATCATCACAGTATGGAGGTCACGGTCTGGTGCATGCAGCCACATGCAGAATACACAGCACATACACGGATGCACATAATGCAGAACCAAAGTTTACAAGCACGAATTCCGTGTTGGTGAGTTGGACAGGATTGAGATGGAAACTATGTTCTAGGTAAATTATGTCCAAAGTATGATTGTTTGAACACGCAGAGCACACCGACGGACAGTGGAGAAGTGGATTATGCTGCAGGAGCGGTTTGAGAAGTCTCTGCAGACGTCTGGATTTCTTTTTTCTTGTTTTTGCTGTAAAAACTGGGTCAGTGTCGGAATCCACTGTAACTACTGTGAATCCAGACTGACTGCAGCCGCTGTCACCTTTTAGAGAGGCTGAACTTTGACAGCTACCTTTCAACTCTACAGGGGGTGAGTGTCTGATGTTCCAAACATAGATTTTAAGAGGAGTACCTCTTTCAACTAAGGGGTTTACTTGTTTTTAAAGCTAGAGGTTCTTAAAGCCTTTGCACATCAAGTCCGTATTTTTCTTTATGCATTTTTTTCAATCTTAAATCTGATAAAGATTGTTACACAGAGACCTTGCACACTAAGTCTGATGCATTTTATTATTCTATTTGCTGCAAAATTCACGGACACATTTGCTCTCTTGTTTCACTCTGCTGGCGTTACCTTACTGGCTGTTGACACACTCTGCCTGCTTCTTGCATTTGACACTGCAGCCACCTGAGTCATGAAATCATACTGTATGGCTGTTAAACTGCTCTCTGCTGTAAGCATCATCATCGCTGTTGTGCAATTCTGGATAGGCTTATGCTACAGTCTCTGTTGTGGAAGATCTCAAGAAGGACATGGCTTCCAACTATTTCCACTTCATTTTCTTGCTGGTCCCCTGTCCACTTCTGTTCTGCTCCTCTCTCTTGCTGTGGATGTGTTGACTAATTCTTGGTCAGACGACTCCCTCAAGATGTTTTAATGGACGTGAAACAAATGGAGACAATCAAAAACGTGCTCTTATGAAAACTTTGATAAAGGGCAAAGTTTCAGAGACGGTTTGTAAACACGATTGACATACCGTGAGGTATTTATTTGTAAATGAGGTCATTGTTTTTGGAGCCAAGGAGGACAGCACGCAGCTTCAGTTGGCAATGTCAAAAACCACAGACCAAGCCAGAAATCTTGGTGCAGGCGTCGACTCAGACCTGAATATCCACATTTAGATAATTACAAAGTCAGCCTATTACCAGAACATATCAAGGATAAAAGGACTGGAGTCTCAGCAGGATCTGGATAAACTTGTCCATGCATTTATCTTCAGTGGACACAACTACTGTAACGGTGTCTTTAAGGGTCTCCCTAAAAATCGACCAGAAAGCTGCAGCTGATTCAGAACACTGCTGCTCGAGTCCTCACTAAGAACAAGAAAGTGGATGACATCACTCCAGTTCTGAGGTCTTCACACTGACTTCCTGTCTGTCAGAGAATGCATCTCTCAGTTCTTTTAAATCTAGGCTAAGACTTTTTCGGTTTGCCGCTGCCTTTTATTAAATCAATGTATTTTAAACCTGTCTTAGTATATTTTAACGAGTTTATATTTTTTATTCTCTTGCACTTTAATGGCATTTTAAATGTCCGTTTATCGCATTTTTTTTTAGCACTCTGCCTTGATGCTTTTCATGTTTTATGTAAAGCACTCTGAGTTACCTTGATGGTTGGGAAACAAAGCAGACAATCAAACCTGATCCAAAAACCATAATGTCGGAGGAAGGTTTGGAGTCTGTGTGTAAATATGATCGATGCAACATGATTATAAATGTTTTTGTTTTTAAATGAGATGAATGTTTTTGGAGCCAAAGAGGAATGATTAAATTAAGTGATGTATTTTTTGGACTGTTTTATGTAAAGCACTTTAAATTGACTTCTTGCTGAAATGTGTAATATAAATAAACTGGCCTTGCCTTTGAATGTGCAACAGTTTTGGATGAAAAATACGGACTTGATGTGCGAAGGCTTTAAATCTGAAACAAGGAAATTACATCTGAGTCTTTCAACAGTCTTTCTTGAACCCTTTTGACACTATATTGTTGTGATTATTCAGTGTTAAGTTGAAAAGTTTCACTGTGGTTAATGAGAAACATTTTCACTGAACAAAAATTATACTTCCCTCCCAGCAGAGACTATCATGAGTCTGGATAATAAGCTTTTCCAACATCAAACCACTTCCTTTTTCTTGTTGTGTCTCATTCTCATGTCCAATTTTTTGTGCATAGGCCAAACTATTGAGCAAAAAGTGCACAAGTCTGTCCAGATAGAACACAAAGCCAATTTTCTCCCTTGGCCACTGGATTATTTGGATGTTTATTCTCTCCTAACAGCCAATGAGAGACATAAGGTGTAAGTAGGTGGCTTCATGCACACGAATATTGTGTTGGGAGGATGTCTTGTCTGTGTTTGTGTGACAGCTTGGTACAAAGAATTCCTGTCTCTCCTTCTTACTTTCAATGCAAGTTCACCGACTTGAGTGAAAAGGCTTCAGAATTCGCAAACTTTCTCTTTAAGATTAAACATTTTCAATTCATGCAGACATGTCTTCACCTTGATTCTTGCATTCTACGGTACATTTGTTAACTCGCGTCTTTCCATTTTCTTAATACGCAATCACGATGCTGCTAAAATTTACTTTGCTTTCAGTCTTTTAGATACTTTTTGTCTGTTCTGACCTGCTGAGGGCTGATCAACAGGCAAATACAAATGATTTCGACAAAAGATCTCAAGTGTCTTAAAACGATACAGTCCTGTGTGGCACTTATTGATTCATGCACTTGGTGAGAGGGAATGTCAAGACAGTATGTGTGGTTTTTTTGTGTGTGAAACACGACTACATTAGAGGGACAAAAATGCTCCAGCTCTCCCCTGGAGGGTCTACAGATGAAACACTTGCTGCTGGGATAGACACAACACACACACACACACACACACACACAGCCCAGCGGTCCCACCCACAGCATGGGGCCAGAGGGAGAGGTCAAAGGTTAACTGAGCCAGGGTGTTAGGTCAGAAGGGTTAAACTGGACACTTTAGCACAGCAGTTGTGGGGTCAGCAGGGGAGGGGAATGGAGGCATTGTGTGGTCCAGTTACTGGTTGTGCGTGCAACATGTCTCGTGCCTTCGCCTGTCCCCCCTGCTCACGAGAGGGCTTGTGCATGTTGGCTTTGTGTGAGCGCGAAAACTGTGCGTGCGTCCGGCAGCGTGTGTATGAATGTGCGTCTTAAACAGCTTAATACCTAGCCAGTCGTTGAACTTCTTAACCTCGGAGGGCAGGCCCAGCTCGGTGAAGTCACCCATGTGCAGCAGCACGTCGCCGTAGGGCATCTGGATGCCGTCTGTACGCGAATGTGTGTCTGACACACACACAAACCTGGTGTGTCCTGCTGGCTTGGGAGTGTCATAAGGAATGGGGTCCACCCTGAAAAGACAGAGACAGAAAACGAATTTAAGCTCTTGACTCGATGTCATGATAAAATAATGATTCAGTAACAAAAGTATGGAGGCTTCTCAATCGTTATATTTTATTTGGATTGATTATAGTCTGACAAGTTTTAGATTCTAGTCTTCTGTGTGCTAACTGGTTGGTTGAACTTCTAATTAGATGTCACTATTTAAAGGTAGAGTATGAAGAATTGTTGGCTACTCTTTGTAAACACACTCGCCAGCAAAAGTGAAAGTAAAAGTCAACCCCAATTCATTCATCTGGTGTTTCACCCCCGCTGTATTTGCATTTCTTTTTTTGGCACTGTGTCTCTTGGATGCCTACTGTTTACGGTTTGGCACCTGGTCGCTACCTTTTAATAAAGCCCGGACCTCACCTGAGCACTGTGGGGAACACGCCCTATGCAGAAAAATACACAGCCACAGACTTCTAGTGGATCAAAAGTGATGACTGAGAGGGATTACATTGTCTTGCATCAAATCCTGCATAGTGCATATTTAATTTTGTGGAATTCTGACCATTTATTTATTGAGTACTATAATATGGGGCATTCTAGTAGCCTTGTAGTTAGGATGGACATCACATCGAGTGGTTTGAGTCCATACGGGAACTTTGTTGCATTACATCCCTCCTCTCTTACCTGATGCTGCTTTGAATAAAGGTTGCTAAACATATACTGGAAAAAAAACCTGGGACAAAACAGTAAATTCTGCATCACTGGGTCAAGTTTTATAATGCCAGTGACTCTGTTTCACTGAATTCAATTCAGTTTGTATTTCAGCCCTGCAGTGATGCAGACTGTGAGACCAAGGACCTGCTGTCATTCATTCTTTGTGCAGTTTTCACATACCAAGATACTCAATGACTTACACCTCTGTTATTGTGGTAAATCAAGAATTATCATATCTTTGCTACACTTTCTTATACTCTGATCTGTCAATCACCTGACCCTACAAAAAGGGGAAATAATACTTTAACACGCTGCCTTACAAACTGTTTCAAGTTGTAATTGAGTAATGTTAGTGATTAAATAATATAAAATGATACTGTGAAAATGATGACAGAGTTAAACAATCTGTAACTGTAAACAATTATGTTCTCCTTTTCGATGAGTCATGATCGTGTAGACAGGTTTATAATTGCTGAAGTGCAGGAATTGCAGGTGTTCACCCTCAACAGTTTGTGAATATTTTCAGTCCTTGATGTTTGCAGACATTTTACTGACTTTAAAAAATGTCTTTAGCGCCTTGGCTGTGATTTTCATAATGTTTTCAGTCTGAAAAGTGTTGCACAAATTTTAAGAAACTGATTTCTAACAGGTCAAAAGACACTGTCAACATTCAATTATGTTTAATTCCATGCTGTCACCAACAAAAAGACCAAACCTGACCGATTTTCCAAGGAATGGATTTTTCCTGTTATTTATGAGACATCTGCCTTTGGTTTTATTTCATAATCCTGAACATTATTATCTTTAAAAAGAGCTGCAATTCAAAGAACATGCCCTTTCTCCTCTTTGTGATAATTAATAAAGGTGTACTCGAACCAGAGGCATATTTTTAGGATGCTAATTTCAGACCAGACAGTGGAAGGGGCACAGCTGAAAACTGCACCCTTTAAAAGACCATTTGTTGTGCAAAATAAATTATATATTCTACAGAATAATGCATGCATCAGAGCCAAATGCATCTCAAAGAAAAGACGAGACATTACAACGGTGTACAAGATGTGTGGTTTGGGCCAGAAAACAACCAGTGCCCAAGTTGATTTGTACACACAAGGAGGCCAATGGCTGTTTTGTGGCATCAGATTGGCTAAAGAGATGGTGAATTAAGGCATGCCATGTCCTTTCTATCCATTATCTAAAGAAAAAACACTTAGACCCAAGTCTGGCTGGAAAAAACCTTTTATTCAGCTTTTTTTGTTCAATGTAAGTACGTCTGTTAAAAGGAAGAAAAACCTGTACTTTTTCACTGACTGAAAGGAAAAGAGGAAAAAAAAATCATCTTGTCTGTAATTGAAGTCTACAATGTGCAATCCTCCAGCACTCTGCCACTAGACCATTATTTCATTAGAAGGGATGTCACTCCGTCGAAAACATGAGACACATAATCAACGCTGCAATCTCCAACCTGACAAGCACACGCACACACAGAGTTAACTCGCGTGTGTGCACAAACATGGCATGAAAACAGCCAGAGAAGCAGATGAAATCAAAAGGTTTCAGACTGGAGAAGATGTCATTACCAGAGAAGGAGAAAATAGGCACCTTGGCACAAAGGAAAATCTTGTTGGGGGGGTAACATTGCATTTGAGGAGTCTCATTTGGGAAGCAATTTTCCTTTTTTCTGCGGCATATTGAGAAGAATATTAGACGTAGAAAAGGTTCACAAACAGTGTCGAATCTGTTGTTCTGGTTTTGAGTTGAAACAGTTAGCTAGTTCATATTAATGGTGGCACAACGTAGGACACCCTGGTCACCATCTGTAATGTGCAGCCACCGAATGTAGTTTGGATAAAATTTTCTATCCTGATATACAAATTTCAGGTGTCTCTGAAAGGTTGTGATGTACCATGAACCTACAGAGCAGCTTCAGTGCTCCTTGTCAACTCTCTGAACTCTAGTCGAGGGTTTAACACCACTCTTGCACAAGATAGTCCCTCATTTGGAGAGCAATGTCTTAACATGTTGCTCCAAAACCTCCAGACAGGGTTTCAACATTTTAAGGTAAGTCAGAGGTTAGACTTTTTTAATGACACTTGAAATGAAATTTAAGAAAAAATCCTGTAAACTGATACTTAGAACTTTTTTGTCTCGTGGTGGAGACGAAGGTAAAACAGAACCGGAAAATACCTGGTATGCATTGCCTTGTACCAGTTTCAGCCATGCTACATTATCTTTTTAAAATAGTCAATTTTTGTTGAATTTGCACTCCTCCATGTTGTGACAACTAGCTGGCAGACAGCAGATCCTCTGCTCTGAGCATCCCTGCAGGAAACAAAACTTCAGTGTCTGCTGACTCTACCATCTTGAGCTTTGACAACCAAGAGAACTTATGCAAATTATGCCAGAAAAATTGATGTTACCAATTATTTTGAGTTTTTAAAATGCAGCGTCAGAAAAAAGTTCTTCATAAAATCCTACTTCCCATATCTTAGCATTTTTAAGTCTTTTAAAAGATTCATTTAAGACTCAATTTTCTGAAAATGAATTTGGAATCTGACAAACTATAGGTGTGAATTTCATTGTCTAATCCAGTTACGTAAAAAACCTGAAACTTCATCTGTCAAGGTCCAAGGTTCAAGGTTCAGTATATCGTCATTCAAACATGTTAAAAACATGAGGGAGCTAAATTCATTACCCAGGTTCAACAACGTAAAGAATAAATAACATTTTAAGATAGACCTATAATAAATAAATAATATACTTCACACACATTGCTGTTACTGATTCACAAGACTGACTAGACAGACCCAATACAACCACAGATATTAAAGAGATATATACCTTCGTAGTAACAGCATGGCAACGTCAAATTACTGTTGTGTCACTGAACATGCCACCTTATCGCACAAATCTCGTCCACTGCCACTGCCTGTGGTCTAGCCACCATTTGTAATCACCATCTGTGATCAGTGGCCACTGTCTGCACCAGCAGCTGCATACTTGCTGCGTCTCGAGTCCCCCCACGAGTGTGTTTTTTCTGCCTCAGCAAAACTGAATGAACTGGAAGCTTTGGGGAAGAAGAGGCTGCTCAGAATCTTTACTCTGACAAAGACAACAGCAGTGCCTGAAATTCAGCACCCCCATACATTTGAGTGAGGAGACTGTGTTGATGCAGTGGGGGTGCCAACGCGGAGGGTTTGGGTAAAAACATGCCGGCTGGACAATTAAACACACATTGTGACGTCATACATCATCACATACATGCAACTGCAAGATACTGGTAAATCACTTAAAGGGACAGTTCACCCCAAAATCAAAAATAGATATTTTTCTTTTTACCTGTAGTGCTATTTATCAGTCTACATTGTTTTGGGGTGAGTTGCAGAGTGTTGGCGATATCGACAGTAGAGATGTCTGCTTTCTCTAAAATATAACAGAAATAAATGGCACTCTGACTGTGGCAGAAATTATGACCCGGTTATTTAAGATAATTCACAGACTTTATTGCGAGCAGTTTCACGTAGGAAATTTTTTCTTTCTATCGTCCAGCGTGCATCTACTGCTAGCTCACCTCGCACCACTGAGCTAGCTAACGTTACAGCTCAGTTTGCTGTCTCAAGCATGAGCCTCCTGTCCATGTGTAGATGCACAATTCATTCTATGTAGTGATACGACTGGTGGATGAAGTGGGGGGGAGAAAGAAAATAGTTCCTACATGAAACTGCTCACAACAAAGTCTGTGGATTATCTTGAATAACCAGGTCATGATTTCTGGAAAGAGACATCGCTGTTAAGTTTTCAAATCATTTAGTTTTTTGGCGGTTTGAGCACCATGAGCCGAGCGCCATCTAGTTCCATTACACTGGAGAAAAGGCAGACATCTCTACAGCCAATATATTCAACGCTCGATTGATAGATTGATAAACAGCACTACAGGTGATGATGTGTTTTTGATTAAGCACTGAACAGCCTCTTTAATGTGAACACCACATGTCTACTGTTTACCTTCAACTGAAAGATACAATCTGTGTCACTGTGGTAAGTTTCCAGAGCAAGTCCTTCTACATATTATTAACTGCTGTGCATTGTTTTAGCATCTGATAAGTCTTCGAAGCCATGGATCAGTTACTCAAATTGGACATCCTAGATCGTATCTTATTGTTTTACCTGAATCTAGGATTGAGTCTGCTAATTCTATTTTCTTGTTTGCAGCCTGCACTCAGTCAGTCGTCAGTATTTGGTAGCCGCTGGTCCTGTTGCTCCTTTAAACCTTCAGATACACAGGAGCAGAGCGAGCTTCTCAGTC